GCTCCTCCCTGTCCTGTGTCCATGCTCCTCCCTCGTCCTGTGTCCATGCTCCTCCCTGTCCTGTGTCCACGCTCCTCCCTCGTCCTGTGTCCACGCTCCTCCCTGTCCTGTGTCCACATTCCTCCCTCGTCCTGTGACCATGTTCCTTCCCGTCCTGTGTCCACGCTCCTCCCCGTCCTGTGTCCATGCTCCTCCCTCGTCCTGTGTCCATACTCCTCCCTGTCCTGTGTCCACTTTCCTCCCTCGTCCTGTGTCCATGCTCCTTCCCGTCCTGTGTCCATGCTCCTCCCTGTCCTGTGTCCATGCTCCTCCTGCATCCTGTGTCCACGCTCCTCCCCCGTCCTGTTTCCACTGTCCTCCCTCCCATCCTGTGTCGGGGCTGCCACAAGAGAATGTGACCTTAAATGCAAAAGGCAGAGAGAGCCAGCTGTGGAAAGGAAGGGATCACGTTGGCTAGGTCCCAGGTTAAGTGAAACACCTCATTTCACTTCTGTGACTCTCCATGATGGCTTAGTTTCAGCCAAAAGGGTACAGGTGAGAATTTTCTGGAAACACCAAAAAAAATGGACAGTGCTGTGATCAGGTAGAAAACATACCATGGTGACACAGGCCACGCCGGGTTCCGAGGCCGGCACCTTCTCAGAGCACCCGGCCGGGTGGGAGGGGAGTGAAGCTGCCACACCCAGCCTCTCCTGCCCACTGCCACTGTTGCTTCTGATCTCTGTGAGGGCTCAGCACGTGTGGCCCGGGCTTCGCAGTGTGAAAGGCACGAGAGGGCAGACCAAGTCACCGAGGAATTGCTACGGCTTCCACGAGGCGCCAGGATGGTTGCGCCAGGTTCCATCTTGCCTGTGAGTTATTCACAAATTGCCAAGTGTCTTCCTGCCTGACATGAGGTCGTGGGCAGTGGCAGCAGCCGGGTGTGGGGGGACCTGCACAGGGCACTGTCCAGGCGGCGAGAAGTTGGAGAACTTTCTCAGTAGATTTTTTTTTTATTTATTTTTTTAACATTTATTTAGTGTGTGTGTGTGTGTGTGTGTGTGTGTGTGTGGCCAGCTCAGCCCACCAGGGGGCAGGCTGGCTGGCATGTAGTGGTGGGGGAATCGAACCGAGGTCCCTGTGCTTTGCCAAGCTTGTTCCAAGTAGGTGCTTTAGACCTCTGAGCCATCTCTCCAGCCCCTCTCAGTAGATTTTTGAAGGCAACCACATCCTTATTCACAGAGTAGAAATAGAATGGTTTTCAGTGGACTACTTAATAAAAGAATCCTTTTGCTATAGTAATGATCGTTGATTATTAGGAAATGTAGGAAACAGCACAGTGCGTCCTGCTGTGGCCACGCGACATTGCTGCAGAGCGAACGTGTCAGAATCCTGCTGCCAGCACGAGTGTAGACGCTGCACGGGGCTCAGCTGCCAAGACCCAGCCTTCCTTGGCGGGGCTGACAACTTGCAAATGACTACTCGGGTGGGTTTTCGTACAAAGGGGACCCGAACTGATCCCGTGATGCGGTGTACTACATGTCTTGTGATGCACCACGCTTAGTGTGCGAACGAAGACGACACCCAGGGCTTGTGGCTCATTACTGGTCGGTGAAGAGAAACTAAAGTTCTCCTCACGCATCCTTGGGGACTAAAGCCCATCAACACTTGCAGCCAATCAGGAGCCTGCACGGCACACTGTCCTGGTGCTGTGCTCCTGGTTATTCATGGGTTGCTGTTGCTGCCTCTGTAACTTCCTGAGCAGCTGCTCACAACGCATGAAGAATGTGTTTTCAAATGTGCTTATGTCCCTTTTGTACTTTTAGCGTGACCCTAACAGGTTGGCTTCAGGAAGCGGCAAGGCTCCTGCCCCCCACGCCCCTCTCAGCGCAGCCTCTTACCTTGGAACTGGGCGGTGAAACCCTTGCGCCGGTGGTTGCTGTCGGACGTGAAGTGCAGCCGCAGCCAGTTCTTGCTGCTGATGACAGGAGAGGGCAGGTTCATGCCCGTCAGCCTGCGGAGAGAGAGGAGAAATCTCCCTCATTAACCAGCAAAGCACGTGTCATGTTCAAACCTGTGCGAAAATTACATCGCTGACAGTTTCCATTTCGAGAAGTTTAAAACAAAGGTCATGTATTAGTTGTCTTTAAATCTTAATATAATTTGGATAATCTTATCTTTGCTCAAATATAAGTGCTATCTTTGTGCTTGAAGAAATGAAGGCTTTCAAAAACAATTGGCATTCATATTCTGATCTAATGATGATGGACAGGGGAAGGAGTTCTTCTGGTCTCTTATTTCTTCTCCTCCAGACCTCAGTCAAATGAATCACTCCAGAAAAGATGTGGACAAGTGAAACCTCTGGCTTTTTCTATTTGGACATCTGACAATTCTATTAATCTGAAGTGGACATGAGAAGGCTGTTTCTCATGCTCGTGGTATGCCCTGGTCCAGCACCTGCAGAAGCCTCAGCCAGGGCGCCCGCCGAGCGAGGCAGAGAAGGGTGCCTCTGTGAGATGGGTGATGAGGCCTCTCGACGGGACTTGAAGTGGAATAAAATTACGTTTCAGTAGTGTACTAATCTTTTAAGAAAGAAGACATAGTCTTCTATTAAGATGTTCAGAATATCCACTCCTCCTCAGAAACTCTAGATTAATTCTCAGAGTCAGCAGAGCATCTCCTTCCCGCTATGTCCAGCGTGCAGTTGTAGCCGCAGAGGAGAAGTCTTCTCCAATGATAAGACACCTGCGCCCTGGGAGCAAGGGACCCCTCAGCGAGAGCATCACTGGCCAGATCCCAGGGCCTTCACCTTGCACTGGGAGACCCCAAACCCTGGTCTTCTTAGTGAAACTCAGCTTTCAATCTATAAAGTGAACCTAAGGGGCGGGCCAGATAGCTCAGCAGATTACAGTGCCTGCAAGCAGGCGCAGGGGCTCGGGGTTCGATCCCTGGGCCTGCGGTGTCAGCCCTATCCCAGGGGCGCACTGAGATGACAATAATCCCAGTACTTGGGAGGCTGTAAACAGGCGGATCACTACAAGTCCAGTCTGGTAGTGTGACCCTGAATACCCTGTAGACCCTTCCCTAAAATACCAAAAAAAAAAAAAAAAAAAGTGCACCTAAGCATATCCTTGTCCTCTGCTATGCACAGAGGGCTGGGTCCAAAAACCCTTGTGGTCACCAACACGTACAGACGCCATGTCCCTCGTGTAAGTGGTTGTGTACATAAGCGAAAGCACGACGTCCTCCCATGTACTTTACATAATCTCTAGGGAGCTCATGATACCTAATATGGTGGAAATGCTATGTAAACAGTTGGTGTGCGCTTTCATTTAGAGAATGACAAGAAAAAATGTACACATGTTGAGTAAGACACAGTGCTTTTGCAGTGTTCTATCTATGGTTTGATGGCTCAGTCGGTGTGCAGTGTGAGGATTTGGGGGCCTGGCTCCTCTGTTTTAAGCAGTTGAGGAGGTTAGGGAGGTGCAGGTGTGTCCCCAGTCCACTCCCCACGAGGTTTCGTGCTGTCACTATGCTGCGTCTCCCACCCAAGCGTGCTCATTAGAGCAGGGCTGGGTGAAGGTCTGTCCAGCTTGCTATCACACAAGCCTGGCCCGCCGTTGGCTCCCCTGGGCTCATCTGGAGGCACAGTGGCTCCCTGTTCCTGCTGAGCTTGCCATCGCTCTGCGCAGGGCTCGTGGCGACTGGCTGGTTCTGTGGAGCCTTGTCCTGCTTGTTCTCTGCCTGGGGGAGAAGCAGCCCCAGGCACCATTTGAGGCCCAGTGCTCTGACCCCAGGGTGCTCAGAGTCAAGCATAGGCCTTAATAATACGTAGTAGCTGCTTGAAGTTAAAAGCCAGAGCTTGCTGGTGACGGAGTGCAGCATGTTTGTGTCACCGTTTGCAATAATGTTCAGCAGGGAGAAGTTGGCTGTTCAGATTTGTCTGTGTGCATAGATTTGTGTGGCACAGATGGTGGCAGTGGGGCACAGCTGACCCCAGACACGCTGAATCACCGCTTTGTGTTTCCTGGTAGGATTATGTGTGAATTCTACAGGTCACGCAGCTCTTTGCTTAACAGCAAGAGTGCACACAAAAAGTAAACTTTACCTTCAAATACCCAGCATGTACATTGTGAAAACATTTTATGACTAAAATCTTTATTGGTTGTTGCTTTTAAAAATGCATCTCCTGAGTTATTTTGACTAGGAAGGACTGTGTTTGGGTCACACGTCAACACTCATGTTGCTCATGTGCACATTCTCTACTCACATCATGTGAATTTCAGAACACCTACCCCCCCCCCAATTAGTTTTGGTTGGGTCAATGAACTCATCCTATGAAGGGCTGGGTAGGAAGCATTTAAAGCTCTGGTGTTGGGGGTGTGGCTCCCTGAGGCAGTCCCAGCCCCACACAAGCGTAGAGTTCGAGTTCGTGAGTCAAGTTGTCTCCACTGTAACTGGTCAGAGTTTGCCGCTGTTGTTCAAAAGCACCCCTAGCACAGCTCGGGCTGTGTTCCTGCGACACCCATAGGTGCTGAAACCTCCTGTGCGACAGAATCTCACTCCTTACATGTTTGCCCACTCACTTGGCAATGTAAAAGGCCATTCTTCTTTGTGTTGGGCCAGACTTAACGGTGGACAACAGTTTGCTTACCCCAGCCTTGGAGCATGGGAGGCACTAGGTGGATGTGCCGAAGAAGAGAAGGTCTGTGATGGACGTGAGCCTGGCACCCTGAACCTTCACAGAAGGGACTGCCGCTGCCAATAACGAATACTTGCTCCACAGGGAACACTAGATTAGGGAACTCTAAGTTTAGCAGCACCAAGCGTTAATGTGGGAGGAGCTCGATGTGTCTCAGTTTTTACAAGCATCATGCAATGTATAGGAGCACTGAACACGCAGGGCACCCATGGACACGTACGACTTCAACGTTTTTATGTGTCAGAAATAAAGAAAGAAAAATGAGGCAGAAGGAGCACAAGTCCCGCGTGTTTCCCTTGCTGTGGGAATCAGCTGGGAAGGCCTTTGTTTCAGGTCTGGATCCTCTTTCCACGGTTGAAGCCGTGCGCTATAATGCGTCTCACTGCAAAGGGGTCGATGCACCAGCAAGGTAACAAATGCCCGCTTGCATTTTGGTCTGGGGAGGAGGACGGTTGTGCTACACGAGGCCTGTGCTTCTCACAGAGCTGGGGGTGAGTGTAGTGTGTTTAGTGCGTGGTGCAGCCAAATTCATGCTATCCAGTTGGTACGTGATGCCAAGAACAAAGGCCTGAAGACCCTGCTGCCACCAGACAGCGCCAGAATGCAATTCATTCTTTTATTTGTTTCTTTGTTTGACACAGTCTCTGCTATGTGGTTCAAGCTGGCTTTGAACTCATGTAGCCCAGATTGGGCTTGAACTCACAGTGATCCTCCTTCCTCAGCCTGAAGGGTCTACAGGTGTTCAGTGTCCAGCCCGGGCCAGCACGAAAGGCCTGGGAATCGAACCTCCGGCCCCTGAGCCTGATTGCAGGCACTTCAATCCACTAAGCTATTTGGCTCGCCCTAGATTGTTCTGATTTAAACTAGCAAGTTGGTGATAGTTTGGTGTAGTGACAAAAGAAAACAAAAGCTTCATCTCTGTGTGTATAAGGTATGTACAGCTTTTACTTCAAATGCCTCAATAACACGGCTTAACACCAAACTAACAAAACCTACAGACGTAACTACCCGCCCCTAAGTCTATCCTCTATCTTGGTCCAGGGCAGTCTTGAAGGAAAGGCAGCGCGGGGAAGCCTGGTCGCTGCATCTCAGCCTGCCGCCGCCCCGCGTGCTTAGACCCTCTCCGGAGCTGTCCGAGAGCCGTCCTGGCCGCGGGCTGCGGCCGTTTCCAGAGGCCCCGGCGGTTACGTTTTTTCTCGTCCTGAGCCACGGGCTGTGTGCTCCCGCCAGCCTGCCGGGTGTGATTTCCCAACAAGTGCATAGTATCAGAATGAAAGGCGCAGAGAGCGGCTGCCAGGGGACAGCAGGTCCTCCAGGACCGCTTCCGCGAAGCCAGGGTGTGGGCCGGCGGCAGCGCGGGGGGCCACAGTGGCTCACGCAGGCGACGGTCCCTCCCCGCCACGGGCCGGGGCAGGGATTAGAGCTCCAGGCTGCGCGTCCGGGAGAGAAAGACAAGCCGGCGGAGAAGGCGGGCAGGAAGCTGCCCCGCGCGGGCGGGCGGCTGCACGTCCGGGTCTCGGAAGTGGGTCAGGACCCCCGCAGAGCCCCCAGGCGCCGGCGGTCCCTCTGGCGTGGCCGGCGGAGCGGGCCTTCTCATTTTTCTTTCTACCAGTGCCGAGTTAAGCTGTTTAAACCACTGGCAAATTTATTTCCCTTCAGAAAATTGAACTCGCTTTTGCTTCTGCTAAGAGTAAAAATAATTGTAGGGCTCCTGGGACTCTCACGGTTGGAGTGGCAGCTTGGAGCCAAAGTAGGCCGGAGAGCTGCTCCACTTTCTCCGGATAGCTTTACCACCGGTTCTAGGGCCCTATTTATAACCCCGTGTTCCCTCCTGGCTGCCCTTGGCCTTTGTGAGCCGCGGGGTCGAGCCGTTGCTCCCCAGCGCTGCCCAGCGCCCCGAGTGCGGGACTCGTGGGTGTTACTGCATAACCCGAACACCGTGGGGGCAATTTATGCAGATAATTTCCTAAAGTGCATTTGGAAATGCTAAATGACTTTGAACTCAGTCTGTCTGAATACTTCTCTGATGGGAAGCTAGATTTCTTATGTTTTTAGGAAATCATCGCAGAAATCGCAAGGGGTTCTCTGTAGTGAAACATTTTCTAGGATGATTAAGAAGCCAGACAGCATTAGCGCTGTTAGGACAGAGTTTAAATTATCACTTCTCCCCGAGGAGGCCGAGGAAGTTAACAAAGCCATTGCTTCAAAGCGCCTGGCGGGTTGTGGGTTGGGAGAAGGCATACAGGACGCAGCCAACCCTGCCTGCCTTCCCCGGGGATGTGGCATGAAGGCAGCTTCGAGGGTGACTTTCC